ACGGCGGCGCTCGCGGCGACGCTGGGCCTCGATCCGGCGGCCTGGCCCCTGGACCACAGGGACGCGGGGACCGCCCTCGGCGCGGCGCCGCTGCGCCTCAAGTTCGGGCCGCCGAAGAGCCTCGGGCGCGCGCTCGAGAAGCCCCTCGGGAGCCTCAAGGACCTCAACCGGTGCACCGTCGAGTGCCACTGCCCCTACGTCTGCGCGCTCTTCCTCGCCGGGCTCCGCGAGACGTTCCCCGTGGTCGCGGTGAAGAACAAGCACGAGCCAGCGTCCTGCGGCCGCGACGATTTTCGAGAGGTTGTGACCGGGAAAACGATGAAAGATCGTTACCGGCGTGCTTGGTAGGCACAAGCAGGACGAGGTCTCGCAGCCGCCGGACCTCCACGTCAACGTCGACCTCGGCGGCGGCTTCCTGGGCGAGGTCCAGATCATCCTGACCTACTGCCTCGAGGTCAAAAACATCCTCCACTTTATCTACGAGCTCCTCCGCGCGAAGACCGTGGACCTCGTCCTCGAGCCGATGAGGAGACACGCATCCGAAGCGGGGTAATTTGCACACTGTGGCCCAGTGTGGGCGGAAGCCGCATTTTGATTTTGTTTGCCAAATAAATTTTTGGGCGAGCGGCTCACGTGGCAAAATAATCGACATGGCGCCGCTGCGGACCGGCCGCGGGCGGACGGACGAGACGACGACGACGACGAAGCTGACGAGGAACCAGAAGAAGAGGAAGCGACGGAAGCAGGACAAGGACGACCTACAGGACGAGCTCGACCGCGTGAAGGCCGAGAACGCGCGGCTCAAAGACGCCGCGCGGCTCGGCACCAAGCACCAGAAGCACGACGCGCGACGGAAGCGACGACGACGACGACGCGACGACGACGACGACGACAACGACGACGAGGACGACACGCCGATCTGCCGGGATTTCAACAATGGAGGCTGCAGTTGGCCCGCGTGTAGGTACCGGCACGTGGCCGACGGCGGCCGGCCGCGCGTCGGCGCGTACTCCGCAAGGAGCGCGCGCCACCGCGGCCAGCGCCGCGCCGGCTAGCCGGCGCGAAGAGGACGGCTGTCCGGCGTCCTGCGCGACTCGCGCGAGAGTGGGATCTCGCGCGCGTTTTGGGCCGGGGGCGAGCTGCGTCACACCGGGCAGGTCGGCGCTCCTCCGCTCGCTCCGAGTTCCGCGTGGTCACTTGTGAAACGCCGAGGGAGCCGCGCGGACGCCCGAGACGGGCGGGCTTCGCGGCCTGCCTGGAATAGGGACGAAGCGCGGTGATGACGCAGCGACGCCCGCGCAGGCCGACGCGGCTAGCCGGCCAGGCGGTGCCGCGAAGGCTAGCGGGCGAAGCGGTCGCCTTCGACCACGCGCAGCGACGCCTCCTGTTCGGGGGAAGCCGCCGGCCGACGGTGACCACCGTCGACCAGAACCTGTCGCTGCCATTGACTGTGCCGGAGGAGCATGGGGCAGCTGGCGGGGCGGGAATCCCGAGCGTCGTTGGACCAGTTCAATCCAGCGGCGTGTAACGACTGCACGGAGGCGGGCCGGCTGCTTTGGCGGCCGGTTCAAGGTACAGTCTAGCCCCGCGGAAAGCGCGGCTGCGGTGTAGGGCTCTTGGCCGAGTTCGAATCCGCAGGCTCGCATCAGCATTGGACCATTGCGCGCCTTGTGAGGTGCATGGTCCGCCGAGGGAGGCCTCGGTCCCCAGCTGGCTGCTTCTTCGTGGACGTGCTCATGCCAGGGAAGGGAGAGAGCTGGTGCGTGTGGCGAGGAGTCACCCCTAGTAGGCTGCTAGCCGCTTAAAGACTCCTCTCTGCCAACAAACTACACAACAGCTCCTTCCAGTCCAACGGCGGCGTCAACGACGGCGGCAGTAGCGGAGA